GGACCCAGATTACTCTGCAAGGCTCCTGACTAAGGCAATCCATCAAGCGGTGTGGCTTCATAGCTTACCAAAGTCGTACTAAAACATTTTTGGACAGATTTTTGAGCGCCGTGTGCCACATAAAATCGGTTCGAGGTGAGTAAGCACAACCAGAATTCATACATAAGTTACACTGTTGATTTTTGAGAAAATTAAAGGATTTTAAATGTGCCATATAGTGTGTAAAATACGTGATACAGAAGAAAAGAATATATCGCGATATATATCGTTACCACACATGTTTCAAATTATACCGCGATATGGATTTTAGGCCATATCGCCCAGCCCTACCTTGGTTATAACAAGAATTACTCCTGCCTTGCTGTCAGCACACCTATTCTCTGGATGTAATCCTTCACTAGATCCACGAACCCTCCAGTGCCATATTCCTCTTTTCCTCCTGCTGCCATAGTCAACATCCTTTGCCCAACATATCCGCCTCTGCACATGTCCAAAACATCCCAGGCTTGCACTCTAATTTTGTCTTCAAACTGCTAAACCTGAGCTGTTCAATGATGTTCAATGTTCATCGTCTCCAAACCATCATAGCAGGTCTCAATCAGTCTTGTAAACATTACGTAATATTACTGTTAATTGTTGAACTCCTATTCCTAATTCTTTCTCCTCTTGTTTATGCCAAGTGAGTAACTTGGATGCCATTTCGGATCACATTATTCTCTCATATATCATAATGCAATCAAAGTCTGTGCTGTTATGCAAGAAGTCCAGTTTTTTCCGCTCTGTATTGGTTGGGTAACCTGACAAAGAAGTGTAGTGTGTGCTCTCCAACTATGAATCATGTTCATTTACCACTGTAGTTTTTTAAGTCTTTGACAGTGCTGTCCAACAGCAACTTTGCATTGATAATTAAAGAAAAATGTGCTGATGTTCAAATCGGCCTCCAGCAGGCTCAGGATCACAAGCTCTCTTTTTCCAAACAATCAGTCACAAGGTGGCTTTCCCCCGTCGGCCTGCTTGATGTTTACTGCTGTTGTGTTGACTTGGCAACACCAACGAGGCGCTGATGTCTGTGTTCACATTGATGTTTTACAACAACTTTACAACTGAGATAACGCGGGTGCTTATTCAGGTACCTCGACATTCAGCCTCACAAGTCTGACAGATGTGGCACCTCTGACCCTTGACCTGGAAATGAAAGCAAAAATAGACACTAACATGGTGGC